TTTTTTGGTCTGTTTTTTGGTACCGCTCTGAGACTGGATTCTGGGAGGCTTTACTCATGTGAAGAGATGTTTCCTGGACCCTTTTATTAGCTCAGCTTAATGGAAAGTGCTGGGTTTTGGAGTTGGAAAGAGCAGCTCAAATTCCAGCTCTCTCCCTGCTAGGAGAGAGATCTTAGAAAAGTTACTCAAATTCTCCAAGTTCACGTCATAGGATTGGGATTATTTAAAGCACATTGCCTGAAACAGACTGGGCATGTAAAAATACAAATTACCAACTTCCTTTCCTCCAGTAACACCACGGGGAGGCACAGCTATATAAACATGCCCTTTTGAAAGAAGCAGAAATGGGAATGAGTAGAGCTGAGAACTGAACTTGTATCTCAGAGCTCTCAGCTGGGTTTTTGTTCTGCTGTGTTGTGTTTTCGCATTTTTAACCTGACAAGAAATAATCTACAAACTGAGAACACAAGGCAAAGCAAAGGCAACGCCTGACAAACTGATCACAAAACAGAACTTAACCATTCTGCCATGTCCCTGTTTATGACTATTTTTCTACGCAGCAAGAAAGTCAGAACTTGGGTTGTTTTCCTCTTGTATGAAATTTGGACCACTGAAAATACCTCAATGCAATGATAACTGTAAAAAGATTAACCAAAAAACAAAGACTGAAAAAAACGCGTTGGGGCATGATGCACTGTGCAAGTCAGGGTAGGAACTAGAATTTATGGGCCCTTTTAGGCTAGATTGGGGTTTGCAAAGAATTCAGAGATTTGAGGCTAATATGATCACAAGAAAGGCCTTATGCTGATAGGTATGGCCTGTCTACAGGTGCCGGCACTCTCAGAGAAAAGCAGCACAGAACTGTAGCTACGATGTGGTTAACAGGACCAGGAAGTCCAGGAAACAAAGAAAATGGCCCCAGCTCAAAGGCCATTGACCCAGCGCTGGCCCTGATACTTTGGAGAGTCCAAGAAAGGTCACTAGAGTTTAAGGAGAATAAGTGATTACCTGGATAGAGCTGGAGCCCTTTCTACTAAGAGAAGTATCACAAGAATGGAAAAACAAGCACCACATGTACTCACCATCAAATTGGTATTAACGGATCAACACTTACGTGCACATATGTAGTAACATTCATTGGGTGTTAATCAGGTGGGAGGGGGGAGGAGGGGATGAGTATATTCACACCTGATGGGTGTGGTGCACACCATCTGGGGGATGGGCACGCTTGAATCTCTGACTTGGGCGGGGCAAAAGCAACATATGTGACCTAAACATTTGTACCTCCGTAATATGCTGAGATTTAAAAAAACGTGATTACAGTAGATGAGTTGCTGATTTTTTAAAAATTAAAAGAGAAATAATATCACAGCATTGTCCTACTCTATAACTACTTCTGTATTTTAGTTTTGTGTGTGACTTTAGAATTAAAAACACCTTCCATTCTCTGGGGCCTGGATTCTTCATCTAGAGAAAGAACAGGGTGTTAGACAACCTCACCTTCAAGTTCCTCTCTCTCAGATTTTGCATAAGAAGACTCCTTATTACCCACCAAATCAAATTTAAACCATTCTGTCCAGCTTTTGAGCTTCCTCTATAACTGGGTGCCACTTCAAGGTATGAGGTTCTCCTGTCACCTTCCTCCAGGAAGAACCCTCGTGTCCCAGTAGACATGCCTATGGCCTGTTCTCCCTACAAGCTGTGCTAACGCAGGCCTCCTCGCTTTGGTCATCCTCGTTCTCCTCTCCTGGCATGCAGAGAACTCTCTCCATTCACTCAAAACCTCATCATTTCTCAAAAGCCATTCTTCAGGTCCCCAGACCATCTCAAAGAGAAGAATAACCTTAATATTCTCCTGTGTAGTGTCAAGGATGTTTTAGGATTTGTACCGAACAGGATTTTAAAAAGGAAGTTATTATTGCATATTATTTTGTTCATGTAAAGTCCACTTCCCAAAATTTGAAATTAAATATAATTCATACAATCTTGTCGCAGAGCTATTGTTATTAATCTACAAAATCAAAGCTTAACAGTATAGGAAAAGACAAAGGACATCAATTTAAGGTAAATTACAGCTGAATATATATAGGATCATACTTTATAGCTTTACAAATACCAAGTGAATTTACTGATATTTGTGATAATATAAGAAAGGCATAGTATTAAGGATTTGCCATTCATTGTAATGTTTTGCTAAAAACCACTCATATGTCTCCACGCTAGGATTCAGTATTAAATATTTATCCAAAAAAATTCGAGTTTGGATTTGTTCCCTTGAACTTGATCTATGGTAATCTTTTGAGAAGTGTGAAGATAAAGGCAATAAAAGACATTCTTGCTTCTAATAATTGTCCATGATAAGTCATAACTGCTCTTATGAATACCCTCAAGCAGACATCTGTAATGACAGTCTGAAATTGCATCATAAGAAAAATGCTGTTGTAAAAATAGAAAGAGCTTTATATGCACCTTTACTACTGTTCCATGGGAATGCCTAATAATGTGTCTACTAATAATTTGGGATACACAAAAAGGCAAAAGACAATTTATAAATAAGAAAACGAAATCTTTGGAATATTTTTTAGTAACACTAATAATGATGCAATATCACTTTTCGATCATCCAAATGGTAATGATTCTAAACACAGTCTGTGTTTAAATAGATGAGAGAAAAGTACCTCTGAGAGTTGAGACCATCCTCTCATGAGGTGCAGGGATGTGTGTGCTGGCCCAGCCACTCTTTGCCCCTGCAGATCCAGTTTCTACTTTTTCCACTCTGCTCTGTGCCCTGGCAGCTCACCCTAACAGTGCACATCAGTGGGGCTCCCTGGCCCTGGCTTCCAGCCAGCTTCAGCCGCTGGGAGACACCAGGAGGAGAGCAGTTGGCAGAGGTTGTGTTTCCCTCCCAAAGACTGCAGTAGTGGATAGTGGGTGGTGCTTTTCTCCAGCTACCCATCTTGCTAGTTTCAGGTAACTGTTCCTTCCCCTGGTCTTTCGGGTCAAGAAATGGTCACTACTGTTAGCCCTGGAGTGCTTCTCCATCTCTTATTGGTGTCGCTTATCTTGGCCACACCTTATAAACTACCCTGCACTAAATCCTCTCCAATCATCCCTTTTGAGTTTCCCATCCATCTCCCACCAGAACCCTGAAATATGTGGTACATCTCCAAGTCCACTCAGGACTTTGACCAAGTGAGGGTATTTTTCATCACAATCAGTTGCTTCCTGGATCCTTCTCTAGTGAATATCTGTTGCTTTTGTTCCCCTGGTGTCTGTTCACTGTTTTCCTTCCATAGTACCCTATTTTACTATGAGAGAACCACCCTTCCTCATCTATGAGTGCAAATGACTTGAGCAAGGCTGATCTGATCACCAACTAGAGCTGAACATATGATCCAAGTCAGTGCAGTACGACTTGTAATCTCAGAATTTTTGTTGGAATGATTGGGGCAAAGAGGCTTCTTGTCACTGAGATAGCTGGGTGTACAGAAAAACACAAACCTGGAACTGTCAGGCCAACTAGAGAGCACTTGCCTGGGAATAAGCCAATGAAGTGGACAAAGAGATGGAGAGGTAGACCTATTATCATCATATGAATCCCTGGATCCCACCATGCCTGAAGCTTATCTTAGACACTGCAGTTATCAGAAGCCATGTATCCCCTTTTGTTCAAGCTAAAGTAAGGTGAGCTTTCTGTCACTTACAACAGAAAGACCCCTGAATAACAGGCCTTCTCCTACTAAAAACACATGAATTTGGAGAGAGTTAAAAGTGGAGGCTTTGTTAGAGACTGTGATTTTCAAATTACGTCAATCATCCAGATTTATGGTGCTTTCGTCAAGAATCCTAACACATAAACTTATGGAAGTCTACCTGCGGTTTGTGTTAATATGCTTTTGGACGCTCCCACCACCCACATTGCATTGTCCCTTTGGTTCTTTGAAATCTGTAAGAGCTTAGGACAATACCAAACCAAACAACCCATTTTGTGTTCAACTTTGCGGCTGAGACCCATACATGAGCTGCTGTAAACAAAGCACAATGGTGGAAAACAGCCGAATGCTGTGTTCAAGTATTATTTCCCAAGTGCCATTTGACTGGGCCTTCTCAGATGACAGGGTTCTTTGGCAGGAAAACTGTTATTGCAATGATCATTATTCCTGTTTACTGCCTATTAGAAACTGAGTCACTGGGAGGTCAGATTGTCCCAAAAGCGCAGTGTTCCTAAGCACTCAAGGTCAAGTTTAAGGGACAGTAATCAGGTGTAAGGACAATGGCAAAAGCTGAATCCTTTGAAATGAAGAGAAACAGTAACTCCCTAGAGATGGCCACAAAGTGAGCTTCACTATCTTTAACATATCACATAACTTGGGAAAAGAAATCAGAATGACAGTGCTAATGTGACACAAAGTTTTTTTTTTCCCATAGCAGCTGTCCTCCCTGAAACATGGACTAAGTCTTTATTCATTTTAACACTCCCCTTCCCGTTCCTGGCTAGCACCGTGCCTCACACAAAGTAGGCACTCTTTAATGATGACATTCAAGACCTGCTGGCTAAGAGCACAAATACAATAAAATATATGAAAAGAGTCAGCATATAGTAGTTGCCCAAGAAATCCCTACTGCTATTATTATTATTGCTAGTATTTGTAACTGTGTAATTGAATCATTCCTAAAGTGTCCATCTTATCAATAAGCAGGCTCATTAATACCCACACAAACCTTTTTAACCACTTTGGTACCACGCTCACCCGCCGCGAAACCTTGCCCACAGCCAGCACTCATAGTTGTGCTGTGCATTGACGACACATCCGTCTTGCTCTTGTGTGATGAGGAAAGCTTTAAAGCACTGAAAGCTTGTTTTACTTTACAGGCAGCTTTACTCGCAATGTAAATATCAGAATAGGTAACATATACATATATGTTTTCATTATGTTATTTTTAAATGTTCACAATTTTATTTTGATAAATGAAAAATTAGAAAAGTCATATCACGGCTGTTGGCTAACGTCGCTGCGTGCGTTCATCTGTGGCTATTGACTATAGTCGACGCTCGTACCAAAGTGGTTAAAGCAACAATTTCAACTTTCTTGCCTCCCAAGGCAACAGCTCTGCCATGAGTTTGAGTTATTTTCTTTGCCCTTTATATACAGATGTTAAAATAACTCATTCATTCATCAGTACAACAACTAGTGACCACCTGTAACTTGCCACATATTTGACAATGTGCGGGCGACTCAAATTTGATTAAGACAAAGCCCCTCTACAATGCAAAGGCATGTAACCTCCAGCAGGTGCATGACAAATTCATATAGACAGAGAATGAGAGAATCAGCCTATGAATGACATAACTTCAGTGCTCTTACGACAAGTGCAGGGGGAATCTTGGGGAAAATGACTATTACAGAGATATATTTTCCTTACCTTTTCTGCAAGCCAGCCAAGATGTCTGATCTCTCGGCTCCCAGCAATGCCTGTTTTCCCCAGCTGCTCTCTGACCTCGGCAATAACTCTGGTCAGCAGGTCACTGACGTTGGAATGGAGGGCACTGAACCAGGCCTGAGCAGTGGCTGAGTCCTTGCTCCTTAGGACAACCGTGTGCTTTGCGTCTGGAGAGTGGATTTCAAGCTGCCTAAGGAAGCAAAGAGAGAAGGGTTAGGGGGTTCTCTGGTAGATTCTGCTTTGTCAAGACCTGAATCATAAAGATCAGCTAATTCTTTACTCTTACTTTCATTTATTTATTTATTTATTTTGAGACAGAGTCTCACTTTGTTGCTCAGGCTAGAGTGAGTGCTGTGGCGTCAGTCTAGCTCACAGCAACCTGAATCTCCTGGGCTCAAGCAATCCTCCTGCCTCAGCCTCTCGAGTAGCTGGGACTACAGGCATGTGCCACCATGCCCAGGTAATTTTTTGTACATATATTTTTAGTTGGTCAATTAGTTTCTTTCTATTTTATTTTTTTTTAATAGAGGCGGGGTCTCGCTCAGGCTGGTTTCCAACTCCTGACCATGAGTCATCCACCTGCCTCGGCCTCCCAGAGTGCTAGGATTACAGGCGTGAGCCACCACGCCCGGCCTACTCTTACTTTTAGACTTTGTCATTTTCTCATGGATTATCTTAACGGTCCCATCATTCATTGATTCACTCATTTGTTCATCAATACATATTTATTGAGTGGTCAGGCATTGGTCTACATCCTGAAAACAGCTGTGTAACCACTAAATCACCTGAATTAAGGTTGTCTGGTTTTCTTTCTATTTAGCTGATTGGCTTATTAGGAGTATCATATTAGGACTTCTAACTGTGAGCTGATACTAAATTGTCTTAATCCCAGAGGATTTTAATAATGTACTCATATTCTTGCTGCTGTTGGCAGGAAGCCACATATTAACACTTAATCTTACTGCCCAGTCTAGCTCAATTGAGAATATTTTACAATTAAAGATGACCAAACTTTGCATTTTTTAAGGAATTCTGTCTATGGCATATTTAACTACCACTTAATCCTTAACCCCATGTAGTAAAGGACTGAATTGGTCTTGGAAGGGGTAACAATGGGCAGAGAGATCTACTTAGAGTATTATATGTGAGGGAAAACACCAAAGCTTATGCCAGAACTCAAATTTGATCACCAGAGATAGAGGAACAAACCTACACACTATAATTCCGGTAAAAGGAGGAAATTCTCAACAGATACTTTTTATTTTTGAAGTAATTATAGATTAGCATGCAGTTGCACAAAAAGTATAAAGAGCTCTGGTATACGCCACCCAGTTTCCCCCCACAGTTATATATACATAGTATAGTATAGTACAGTACATAGTATAGTACAATATCAAAACTAGGAAACTGACTTTGGTGCAATGTGAGTACATACTTCTAAGCCATTTTATCATGTATAGATTCGTGTAAACACCACTGCAATCACAATGCAGAACTATTCCATTACCAAAAAGCACAAAGCTCTCCTTCCAACTACCCCTTTTTAGTAACTCCCTCTTTCTCCCCCAAATCCCTGGGCAACCACTATTCCCCACAATTTTTAGATACTTTTTAATTGCAGGGAGGAAAAAAAACTTATTACTTATTCATTCATGTGTACATGTAATAAATATCATTTATTCATTCCTGTTTGCATTAGAAAGATATGGAGAATGGGAAATTCAAAACTGAATAAAATTATTCACTTATTAATTTTCTTTCATCTTTTAATAATTATGCAATCATTCCTTGAGAGTTTACTATGTGCCAGGCAAAGGTTTAAATCCTTTATATCATTGTATGTAATGTTCCTAATAGCCCTATGACTATTATTTAACAAAAGAAAAAAATTGAAGTTTGGAGGGAGAGAGAAAGAATCTATTTGCCCAAGGCCACACAGTTGGTGGTGCTGGGGTTCAAAACCTTGTTAGTTAGGCTCAAAACCCTGTGAATTTAAATACTGTTTTACAATGTCTCTCCTTTAGATAAGACAACATCCAATAGAGGATGACCCATTGTCTTCTGCAGTGATTTGAAGTCTGGTATTCACCAACAAATATGCTCAAAAGTGTCCTACTTAGCTCCTGAGTTTCAAAATAACAATTTTGCAGATCACCTGAAAGTTAGAAGACCCAAAGCAACCTGCCTGGCCTCAGTAACATTTGAACCAATCTGTTAGAGTGAATAAATCTTTTAACACATAAACTTACGTTGTAGAAAAGGAATGATTTGGAAGTGGGATGTCTCTAGAGGAGTTTTAGCAATAATTAGCAGTTTTGGCAAAAAACAAAATCTGCAAAACAACATTCCTCACTAAGACTCCAAAAGTTTTATGTGATGAAACAGGGCGTTCTTTAGGTAACATTTGTCCTCATCCAGAAGAAAAAAAAATCTCATGCCTCTGGAACTTTTCAAAGAAATGGGCAGTAAATCTAGGGTGAGTTTTCATTGCCCCCTGAAATTCCTACTCTAGGACACACAACAGAACACAAACTAGGATTCTCAAAAGCATTCATGAGAGCCCAACTTGCTTTTCTTTCTTTTTTTTTTTTTGAAGTTTTATTTTATTTTTAATTGATAGTGGTGGTTATCTTGTTTTTCAAGTTAAGTTTTATTTTATTTTTAATTGATAGTGGTGGTTATCTTGTTTTTCAAGTTATTCTATCAATATTATTGTAACAATTCAAAACATGCAAATACTTCATTTACAATGATTTCTTTTGAAGACCCATATTTGTTTTTAAAGAAATGACAGCTTGGGAAGCAGACACTCCTTAGGTATCACATACACAAATGATGCCAGCAAAAATGAAAGACAGAAGAAAGAAAATATTTGTTGGGTTGCCAGCATGCCCCTGGGAGAAAGCACACTTGCAAACAGAGGCACGGCTAGTGACGGGGAGGCCCGTTTCATCGAGGTTTTGACACCGTCTATCATTATTATTAATTTTAAGTAGACTTTTAAAGTATAATGTACACACAGAAGAGTACACAAATTGTAGGTGTCCAGCTCAGATGCATTTTTGCAAAGAGAGTATATTCATGTAACCACCGCTCAGATCAAGAAATAGGATGTTAGGAGCACCCCAGATGTCCCCTTCGCAGTCCCTTTCCAGTTCCTATCCTCCGAAATAAGCACAAGGAGAATCTCTCTCACCATGGATTACTCTTCTCTCAGGCAAACATGGATGAGCTTTTGTTTGTTTTCATTTGTTGTTGTTGTTGCCTGAAGCATAAGGAGGATCTTGGACTATTTCTGAAGAAAAGCTGAAATACCAGGTCCTGTACTTTTTGGCAGTGGTTCTTAAAGTGTGGCCACAGACTGGCAGCAGCGGCATCACCTGGGAACATACTAGAAATTCAAATGATGGGTTTCCACCCCGGACCCACGCAACTAGGAATCCTGGGGCCCAGCAGTCATCCTCCAGGTAACTCTGATGCAATTCAGGTTTGAGAAAGGCTGCTTGATAGGTTTGTGATAAAAAGCCCTGAGCTTGGTTGTTTGCCAGGCTTCCCAACGGCTGAGGGGACAAGCTGAATGGTGACTTGAGCTCCTCACAATCAATCCTCAGAGAAAGAACACAGAAGACGCGGAGTACGAAGGACTGTGGCTTTTTATAGGCCAAAAGAGCAGCAAGGTTCTCAACCAAGAGTATTCTTCAGAAATCCTTGAAGAGGTTTCTTTTTTATTTTTTAATCATTTAGTTAAATATAGATGCTTGGACCCGTCAAAGACCCATTGGGTAAGAAGCTCCAGGGGTTGAAGCCTGGGCATGTGCTTTCAATGTTCCACAAATTATATAGATGAAGGACCACAGCAGGCCTCGTGGAGGCCAAGCCAGAGCCCCCTAAGGAGCTGCACCTACAGGTGGTTGTCCCCAGAGGGCCATGCAACAGAGGACTTTAGGAGAGTGTGTTAGTTGCTGACTATTGACTAACAAATTCCCTCCAAATTAAGTGGCTTAAAATTCCAACATGTATTATCTCGCAGTTTCTGTGGGTCAGGACATGGCAGCCCTTGTTTCTTCAAAGAAAAAAGGAACTGCTATGCCTTTTATGACCTGGTCTTCAAAGTCATATCTCCTGAGTTTTGATTTACTCTTTTTGTCAGGCGCAAGTCACTAAGACCAATGCACACTCAAGGGGAGGAAAATTAGGCTCCATCAGGATACAAGGAAGAGTATCAAAGCATTTGTAGGATATCTTAAAACCATCAGCATAAAATACAAAAATGATAGTGGGTTAAGGATGGCTGCCTGATCTGGCAAAGGTTTGGCATCAAAAAAGTGTCATAATGAATAAATGAAAGAATATAACATTTTACACTCATCTCTTCTCCATCACCCCAATAAAATCCAAAGAGGGAGAAGAGAGGCAAAGAAATTCCATTCTTGGGCTGTCCAAGCAGTGGTTCTTTCAGCAGCCCATGTTCTCACTAGTGTAAAGCACGGATGCCAGATTACACGTGGATTTTGGATTCAGATTGGCCCCAAGACTTGTTGGATGTAAGGCATTAGGTAAGTTACGTAATCTTCCTAAGCCTCAATTTCCTTTTCTATAGAATGGTTCAAAATACTTGCCTCTCAAGATTATTAGAAAGATTAAATGAAATAACACATGCACAAGACGTCACGGTGCCAAGCCCATCTGATCAGTATTTCTAGTTTACAATGAATAGTCTTTCTAAACTCATGTACAATAAGATTGTAGTGGTCCAATGAGGTAGGGAGAGTTTTCCAGGGTGGGCTCTGGTTCAACTCCTTTTCAGAGAACTTGGACTTGAAGGAAAATACAAGTCTCAGAGAAAACTAAAAAATTATACAAAGACTATTTCTATATTTCTACCACCCTAGAATGGAAAAAATAACTTTGGAGAGAGATGCATGAATCTTTTGTAAGATATTGAAAGATTTGGGGCAAACCTGATAATACATCACCCCTTACCTCATCTCCCTCTTTGTTCTAAAAACAAAAAAGGCTTATGTTCAGGAGTACAAGTTAATGTGAGTTGTGGCCATAAGTAGAACTATAATCATCCGTTGAAGTCTTTTTGCTTTCTCATAGCCTGAGCCAACCAGCGACTATGGAGTGAAAAGAGATGGAAAACAGTTTCATCTTTCTGCAATTTTTTGTTTTGCTGGCAAAATACCC